TTTTTTGATAGCTGTGGCTCCATCTTGAATCAGGTTGACAACAAAGATGAATCAGTTTCAGATGTACATCAAATGTTTACTTTATGACATTTTGCTGATTAGGCCAGCAGATAATTATWATAGAAATAACACAAATCTATGGTAGGCATGGTACCAAAAAGCATTCAACTTGTTTCTCACCACATACACACGCACACACACACACACACATGTATGATCTTCTATCTTCATGGGGACTTTGCATTGACTTCCATTCATTTACCGGTCATTTCTACAGCCTAAACCTAACCCCTGACACACCACAGGCTGCGTCATGAAAATGGTCAAAAATCATCCCCACCAGGTAGCACAGACATGAGCGCACGCACGCACGCGCGCGCACACACACACACACACACACACACACACACATGTATGTTCTTCTATCTTCATGGGGACTTTGCATTGACTTCCATTCATTTACCGGTCATTTCTACAGTCTAAACCTAACCCCTGACACACCACAGGCTGCGTCATGAAAATGGTCAAAAATCATCCCCACCAGGTAGCACAGACATGTGCTAATGGTCGGGGTTGGTAACCCCGATCATTTACCCTAAAACGAACCTAAACATAACCCCCACCCCCACCCCACCTGAAATTAGCATCCATACTCATGGGGACCAGGTTTTGGTCCCCACAATGCATGTTTGGTCCCCATGAGGCTGCCTTTTTCTGGAATATGGTTCCCACGATGTAGCAAAAACATGSCCCCCCMCACACACAAACACACACAGAATAATGAATGAAAATGTTCTGAGGCTGCTTGCATTTTCCTCATGATCCAAATCAGCCAGCCTTGTAAAACTGAAGCTATTTAAGCTTCCTCTTCAAAGTGTTGTAAAAATAATTTGTTGTTTTGTGTTGCGGTTATTTACAGGACTTGTTTCAGTCTCTATTATGACCCTTGTGTATTTTKTGTCTGTGTAACTGTGTGCTAGTTGCACCATGTACACTAAGTACTGTGATTACCTGTKATTGAGTCGTGAACCCTGTTGTTCCTCTGGTCTCTGGGGCTCCTCAGGTCGTGTAATGCTTCAACAGAAAATCTTCCAGTAATACCTGACATGTGTCACAAAACAAATGTACACACAGACGTGCTCTCATGAGTCCACAGATTACTTTTCAGGCATTCAAGTAATGAAGCTACACAAGACTTAAAAATGTTGCTTTTGAGATTGTTCAGTTAAATTTACAAAATTTGTCCTAAAGTTCAATAAAAACAGCAAATAAAAGGAAAAAAAAAAACTCGGTTTAAAAGCTTGGGACTCTGAATTTTTCCAGCTGAAATGTAATATTTGATCAACTATAGWGTAGGAAAACTATGTGTTGTTCAAAATGGTATGTCCGAATAGACAGGAATCTGCTGGTTTTCTTCTTTAAAACTTWATTTTCAATCWTCTGACTCCAATCAGGTWCACAGTACAGCAYTCAGCAGGCCTCAGTCAGACCTTGRGCTGAACCAAAACAAACAGACAAGAGCTCTGCTCTGAGCAGAGACTCTTYAACACACTGACGTCTTTCTAYTATAATAAAGAATTGACCTTATAATGTACATYTCTTCCTGGTTACACCTCTGGAGGTGTTACCTTTTATGTCASTTGTCAGAACGAAAYTCATTTTGTTTAGACTAAAGAAACAACACATGATAACACACACCAACTCTTTGTCTGCTTTAACTTTACAGGCTGAAATGATCAGAAAGTATAAAATACAATACTGTATCTAACATTCAATTAATGAGTTACAAAATTTCCAGGATGCATTTTAAATARAATTCAGAATAATTAGTAGATGTGCATTTACTCTACAGGTGATGAGCTAAGATTTAGGGTGGTAGTGGTTGAGAGTCAGCCACAACATGAGCTAACAGAGCCAGTGAGATTTTTSTTGAAAATGTTTTTATTRTCTGTTGAAGTCATTCRTGTTTGGTWCCAAAATGTCTCATGAACCGCWGGTTGGACTTTGAAACTCTCAGAAAGTACAAGTATATTTGGATGTAAATACTTTTAATCAAACACAAAAATGAATAAAACTGTCAATTTTACAGAGGTAGTAGCTGAGAGACATCCAAACTCAAACTGAGCGCTAACATTTCTGCAAAAGTGCTAGTTTCATGCTAAAGTGCTGCTCAGGATGGGAGACTGAAGAAGTAAATATTCAACACAAACTGTTGGCTTTCTTAAATTGTTTCTTTTTTTCCCCTTTTCTTTTCTTTTGTTCAGTCCCCTGAGAGGTTTGTTGTGACTTGGGGCTATATAAATAAAC